CATCAAAGACACAGTGAGTAGTTGGTTTGTTTCAAACCACAAGTTTAATCTTCATGTTTTCTTTATCCTCACCACCTGCCTACAGATGAATGTGAAGCTTTCCGCCAAACTACCGGCTGCCTCGAGATGCCTCAGAGTCAGTCTGAGTCGCAGGGCAGCATGCTGATCTGAAACACAGACTCACTGCAGAGAATGTTTTGATTTCCTCTGAGCACAAGCAGAGCTCAAATCTGAAATTCACACAAGACAAAGAAATCCTCTTGTTTCAGATGACTTTGACTGCTTAGTTACACTGTTTTCAGTTTCACTGTTATGAAGAACCAAAACAGCTGAAATCAAAAACTAATAAAGTTCAGGATCAGGTTAACTGTACCCATAGGGCTATTTGAGCTGCAGTAGGCGAGTCATCTGTCCATGCACATTGTTGTTTTTCAGTTTCTATTGTTCTGTACTGTGAAACTATAAAACTTAATCCAGAAGAAAGAAACTGAACTTACTACGGAAAGGATGGAAACTTGTCAAGGAAAAGTGAACCACTCAGCCACAATCTGGTATACAAGGATGCTCGGGTCAGGTGTCCCAACAATAAGCCTGTTTGACCATTTAACATGAGCGAGTTTCTGCTCTTTACAGATAAATATCTAAACCAAGACAAACAAGAGTTAAAAAATGAAAATGGACTCAACGAAAGCACAGTAAAATAAAATAATCATCAATTAAACTTAACACAGTTGATAAGTTTTTAACATTTATTTATTCATTCAGTCATCACAGACATAGTCTGCACACAGACTGTGCAATACACATTTTTTGGGACTGCTTCACAGGTTCATTCAGGTTTGTGCCCTACACGAAGAATATTGTTAATTACCAAAACCATTTTTATGATTCTGTAATATTAATCCACCAGTGTGCACAAGTGCTTTGAGACTTCTTTTAAAGCTAAAATATAAGTGGTGTTAACATCCATTTTTTTCATGAACAAATGTAAAAAAAAAAAAAAAAAAAAAGAGAAAAAAAAAGAGAAATAACTTAAGACTTTTTCAACTTTTAGATTGATCTCAGTTATTTATTTGCCTGCCTGGACAGAAAAATCGGTTTTGGTGGTTGACCGTTATGCTTGATTAATTTCTGATGTCTCTGAGAACTCCAGTGTGGCAGCTCACATGTAAACAAATGTGAATAAATATATATATGTGTGTGTGTGTGTGTGTGTGTGTATGTGTGTGTATGTGTGTGTGTATATATATATATATATATATGTGTATATATATATATATATATATATATATATATATACAAATTTTTTTTCTTGTTTTTATGCACAATCACAGTAGGTCTGAGAAATTTGTTAAGCACTGTAGATGGTGTATGAGTGACCTCTTGTATACGAGTATTTTTCCTAAAATCAGTGATCGTAGCTTTAAGTCAGTAAACCAATGAATATCTCTGTAAGTCCATCAAAAAAAAAAAAAAAATTTTTTTGAAAAATATAATTAAAATATTGATATTTAAAGTGAATAAATTAATGAAAATTGTATCATCAATTTATGATAGATTTTAATAATTTATTAATTTCTATAGTGACAGTTTATTATTTGTTTAGGGTTTTGACACTTTTAGTACTCCATACATTATCACTTTACATCCTGTACTGTTTCCAACTGTCTTAAAAATCAAACTTTTAAAGGGCATACTGTGGTGTGAGCCCATGTTAAACAGAAAGTATCTACCCTTTTTGCGCCCTCAGCATTGATCATTTACTGATAGTACAGAACAGCTACATAAAAGAAAACAAAAGATAAGCTGCCAGAGTAAAATATTTCAGTATAGATATCTTTAGATTACTTCACTGTCTTGAAGAGCACTGTCTTTTAGAGACTTGAGACCTAAATCCAGGGTTTTGAGTATAAAAACTCCAATATTTTGACATCCAAAGTTGATCAAGATGCTGCCAGTCATGATGTTGCTCATCTCATTGGTAAATTGGTTTGTTTGTGTGATCATACGCTCTTCACATCAAACGCCGAGAGGCAGGAAACATCTTGACATTGTCAGCGGGTTATCAAATATTGTTCTTTGAAGTGTGTCAGCATGTGTGTTGTACTCTTGCTCTTTTATCAAGCTAGAGATGAATGTTTTAATATTTTGTTTTAATTAACTGACTTTCATGTAGATACAAGTGGTTGCCAGCATTCACGTTGATCGCACAACACACACACACACACGCAAAACAGTGGCATATTAAAACAGTTAATCACAAAGCGTGAAAAACTGGGAAAAACATGTAGCTGCCCAACAGTTTCCTGGTGCGACAAATGAGGCACAACTTTCATGCGAGGATGGAGTGACTGCAGACAGATTGCCTGTTGGTCTGCTCCTCCTTTCTTCTGTTTGGTCTCTGATTTATATTTTCAGATGCACAGGAGAGCCTTGGTAACAAGATTTTTAGGAGGTTATTACTGCTGTTTGCACATATTCTGGATTCAGAAACGTGGAGAGCTTTTAGCTTTTATTTTCGGGATTGGATATGAAAGCTGGGACAGAGCAGGGGGAAGGCACACAGCAAACTGAATCACCTGCTCAACCCAGGGAGTTGAAGTGGTGCCTCTGAAACCTGGACGCTTTTGTTCAGTGTGGTCATAATTATTGAGGGGGGCCTATTATTCGTTTCCTATGCTATGTTATACAACATAGCATAACATAATAATCTAGACAAGGATGGTATCAAAAGGCCAAGTCTACTAAAATATCCCTCATGACAACTCCTTTTTTTTTTTTTTTTCTCATACTTCAACCTCTGTGTGAAAGAAGGCAAATTAGCAAAGAAAAGTCCTGTTAATGTTACATTAATCACAGTAATCACCAACTGTGTCCTTTACAGATGTCTTTTTTCTTAATTAAATATATACAGGCCAGCTGCACTGCAAAAAACGATTTTCAAGAAAGTAAAAAAAACCTTGTTTATGGACATTTTTTCTTATTTTTTGCCTAAAAAGAAAATATATTCTTAACAAGCAAGTTTTGGACAAGAAAATAAAGCTTATTCTAGGAAAATATGTCTAACTTTTCCTTAAAAGGATATTTCAGCTCATCTTGAGCTTTATTTACCAGTTACAAGGCATGACAATGGTTTGGTTGAATTTCCAGAATAAAAATAAGATTATTTTTCTCATTTCAAGAGTAAGGGCATTTAAACAGCTGCTCAGTTTAAGAAATTTATTTATTGACACTAAAGTTTAATATAATTGCTGTCAAGTTTGACACAATATGCAGTATATGAACAAAGGCAGGAACTAAAAGCACATGGTAAACATGAAATACAGGCCCATTTGAAAAACAGAAACAGCACAACTCATTCACTTTAGGCCATGTCAAACAGAATAATAGATCAGCATCAGTATATCTATACTATGGCAATGCTAAAATCGCATTCAACTGTCAGAATTTATAGGAAAACAACAACTTAATTTTAAAAATTGTCACAAAACTGTCCAAAACAATAACCTGAAAATACAGTTCATGCATGTAAAGCAGTGTACCTTTTATAAAACATATGTTGAGCTCACGTGTAGTCCAATTACATCACCCAGGTAATATTTCATGACCGCACATGTCATATCTTTGTGTGTGAAACTGTAATATGGAATGGAATCTCATATCATATCATTGTTGGCTGGCTTTCCACCACTGAATCAGTCCTGTGTGCCCACATGTTACTCAGATTTCTGTTCACTGCTGATGAGGGTTCCCTCCTAGAACTGCAATTGAGATTGGTTGATTAATTGACTAGTTGCGGATAAGGAAATTAAATACAAGGTACACTGATAATTTCTAAAAAATTTTAATGTCAGAAATATACTGCATTTTATAATTTACTCTAAAATATGCATGTTTTCAAGCTGAGTTTAATAAATGGATATTCATTTAATGCTCATTGCTATTTGGCAGCTTAACTGTAGTTTAAAAGCCTTGAAAAATCCTCAAAAACCTAAAATGGGAAAGCTAAACTAAAGAACACAGGAAACATGGAAAATGTTGCAAAAACCTTACAACCTTGAACAAGGAACATAAGACATGAAAACATCAGGGAGGGAACACAGATGATAACACAGGAGAGAATACAGACGATCCGACAAAGAACACACTAAATATACACACACAAAAGGAAACGAGGAATTGGCAGACAGGCACGAAACACAGCTGACACTAATCAGATGAGAAGAGACCAGGAGGAAGCAAAACAGAATACACCGATGCAGGGCAGGGACTATCAAAGTAAAACAGGAATAAACACGAATATCGAACCAGGGACAATACACTGAAGACAAGGGAGGTACAGAGAACACCTAAACACTGGAAATAATTAACAAATAACTAGGAAACTAACTGACACAATGAATATTAATAAACACAAACAACCAAGGAGACTGCGGACCATGACAATCGGTTTATTTAAAACAAAAGTTTAAAAAAATACAAAATGTTGTTTTCTCTAGTAGAAGAAATTAAACACTATCAGAATATTCTTTATAAATAGATAGCATTGTTGTGGATTATAAGGAATAAGCATTAACATATCTACTGTTAAGCTGTAAAAACAAGTAGACATCTAACATGAATATTTTATATGATTATTTTCAAAGATATTAAAGTATATAGTCAGTCTCACCTTACAGATTTTTGTGTCCTAATCGATCCGCTGCATCGTCCATTGGCAAGGTGGTCGGAGTGTGTTCGAAGAATGTGATACCAAAATTAGCTGTAAACACGATATTCTTTGACACATCCATCTATGCCACAATCTTCACGGAAATCTGGACTATGGCTATGTGCAGAATTAATATGACTCAGTAGGGATTTGAGGGTCAGACCCACAAAAACGATGTAGATAACACAGCGCCAAATCATTTTGTTTTACTGGTCTGTGAACTACTTTTCCCATAAAGTCAAGATAACCAGGATTATTCCATTATGGGGTAGGAATGGCTATCCTAATTCAGTGCCTTATAACAGCTGTAGTAAGTAACAGCACCCACACGTCAGTATTTACAGAACATAATCTAACTAAATAGTCAAATATTTAAATATATATCATTTTATAGGTATAAAAGAGCGAACTAAACCATTTCCGTACACAACCCCATACTCCTGAGTTGGTACAGCCCACCTTCCCGCCTCTAGCTCCGTGCCTAAGCGGTTGGATTGCAGGATTTTGGGGTCTGGGTGTAGATGCGATACAGTTGGTACAGTGTGAAGAAATTAAGGCACGCTATGGAAAAACTGGACGAAATAACAATTGCCAACCTGAAAGGTATGTGACTGTTTTGTTTTTTCTATGTTTTGTGTTCTGGTATGTTGCATGTTAAGTCGCTAGCATGGCAGGCTATACCCGGTTGTTAGCTTAGCTTAGCTGTGCGGTTAGCTTAGTTGCATTAGCATTTTTAAATATGCTAGTGCAGAAAGTTATGAAAGAATTCATGTCCAGTTATTAGTTTCAGTGTCTGTGAATTTATTCAACAAGTGTGCAAAGTGCCATAAGTTAATGCCAGTTTTACAGAAATTGTGGGAGTTTCAAATTTCTATTAGTGAAGTTATTTCATTATATACTTTAGCCCAGGAAGCAAAAAAAAAAAATACATTTATATGTATACATGCATTTAATTGATGTATCACAAATATATTACTTTTACCAGTCAATAGGAGGAAGGTAATTTAGAACCTGTGGAGCAGTGAGGAGGGAGAATAATGGAATAGAGTCATGGTTTTAAATGGTAAATATTAAATTATGTTTCCTATGTATCCTGTCTGTTACCCAAGCAAAGCTGTCAGCTGGCTTGCACATGAGGATAATGCAATGTAGTGATAATTGGAAACTCGTATTGCAGAAGCAAATGTTGGAGAAGACCTGCTCTCATCACTTTCACGAGATGACATCAAAGATCTGTTTCCTGGTCCTGAACATTGCCTCAGGCGTCGGGCTCTATGGCTTGCAGTGCACAAATGTGAAGAAGTAAGTTCTGTCCTATCGCTGTGTGACAAAACTGAGAACACACCAGCTTGTTTTATGCAGTTTCAAATAATTCCACCAATACTCACTTAACAGATAGACAGTAGAATCTTCTTTAGTTTTGATTTAAATCAAGTGGCCTACACATTTATTAAATATACATATTTTTTATTGTTCAACACTTTACTGATATTTTGTTGTACTATCTTTCATATTTAGAGACCTAAAGTTCTTGTGCAATTTTATGTGAAATTAGCCCTATGTACACTGTATTTTAGAACAAGACTGCTGCTGAAAAAACGCTAACAACTACTGGAGATGGTGACTTCTTCAGAGAGGAACCCAGCACTTACCTCCATCCAAAAACTTTGGATGGAGGTAATGCTACAGTATCTTGATTTGTCTACATTTATGCTTTGCAGATTACATTATTTGCAATGTTTAATGGTGTTGCCCTGTCTTATTTTTCTTTTTTCAAACCAGTGGAACATGCAGCAGCTGTGTTCAGAGCCCTTCCCATGCTTTTCCCTTCCAGCACAGTACCACCTAAGAAGCTGGGCATCTGTAGTGAGGCTTTTTTCCATGTCCTAAAGGTAAGGCTGCAATATTCTATGTGTATATATTGTTGAATTTTGCAGTTACTCATGTTTTCATTTTATATATTTTACTGTGGAGTCAGTCAAATATTCTTAAAGTTCAGATCCCCATAACATGTTGATGTTAATAAAACCTACAAAAAAAGTTGATCTATTTTAAACTGTAATGCAACTCAAAAATTGTGTTTCTTACAGTCTTGTTCTAATACTCTTTTTTTCTGTCATGTAGACTTCAGAAGACCCTGAAGGCTACCTGCGTCAGCGACCCCTGGCTTGTCCAGTTCTGCTTGTCTCTGAAGGCAACTGCATGATAGCTGTTGGAACCACACCGGTGAGCACTTTTGACCGGAAGGATCTTAATGAGGGACTGCTCTATCTGATGGCATATTACTATGCCCTCCACCTCACATATCCATAGTGCATTTCCACGCTGCTGTCTGTCTTGCAAACTGAAATACTCAAAGACTCCATCCATGACCGAGATTCAACCCCCTCTTACAAGAAGGCGCTTGGTGAGTGGAAGTCATTCATTGAGTGAGTCTCCCAGATGACAGACTCCATCTGCCTTGTTTATCAGACTCAGTGTTAGTCAGTGAGGTTGTTTTTTTTTCTATAGAAAAGTTGTTCAAATGTAAAACACATGTTTGTTTGTGTGGTCGTTAAACTTGTTCTTCTAAAATGTTATGTAATATAGGATTTGAAATAGTGATTGTTTTAAGCTTCAGCAAAATTTATTTTTGATACCAGCCATGAGTGTGTTATACTGTTATTATTCATTTTAAGAGTATCTGGAATATGCACTTCTTATATTGGCCATGTTACACAGTACCTTGCTGAAATGTATAATTTTAGGCATGATTCTCCTGGAACAGACCTCAGTGAGTTACTGACCCATTGCTGTGTCAATAAAAGCGCAAAATCTAAGAGTGCTTTTGCTGTCTTAATTTAAGATGAATTCCCTTATTTTTAGTAGCTTTTTGAAGAGATGGTGTCTTATTCTCAGGAATTTTTGCTGATTATTGTTCTCAGAGTCGAAACATAATTCTTATAGTTAGCTCAATCAAGAAAGAAACAATTCAGTTTTAAGAAAATTTGTCCTATAGTAAGGTGTTTTTTTTAATGTGAAAAATCTAAATTAAGGTGTAGAATCTTAAAGTAAGCAAATAATTCTTGAAAACAGCTTGTTCAAGAAAGCATAATACTCATTTTAGGTGCAGATTTTCTAAATATCAAAGTGTCTTTTACTTATAATAAGTCACATTTTCTTCAAATAAGCATACATTTTAGACAATTTTGTCTAGTTAAAAGGCATATGGCAGTTAGATTAATTTGCTAGTTTTAAGAATTCTAGTCAAGCAACTTTTGCTTACCCCATTGGCAGATTTTTTTGCTCAAAACAAGAAAAATTTGTCAGATTTAAGAATATTTGGCTTGTTTCAAGTATAGCTGTTTTTGCAGTGTGATGCTGACTGGCTCCTGGCATGTGCCCTTACTTGGCCTGGCACAAATGCTCACTGACTTTTCTAATCATCCACTTGAATCTAATCCAGTAAAAATGGTCAGGCATTTGCATCTACAGTGTGGAGTCACTTCTTGTTCCAGCTGCATTACAAAGTGCCCCGAATGAGCCTCCATTTGCAGAATATCATAAAAACCACTGGACCAATCAGCTTCAGCAGTAATGAAATTTAGTACTCGAGTGTTTGAGTCGGGGCTTAAATAACGCACTGGATGTGAGGTTAGTGTGCACTGTTTGGCCTTTCGGCTGTCCTGTTTTTAGTTTATGGTCTACACAGAATTTGCATACGCTATTCACATCTGAGTTTTAATGGCACCATTAAAACTTTTTATGAGGGATAAATTCTAAAGGTTTTAAGCTTATTTTCATAACCTTAGCCCAGCATATTTATTAGTCAGGGCAAGATGGGTATTTCGCATGATTAGATTGGACAGACCACTTTAAAATGCAAGGTATTCAAGACGCTCATTTAGGGAGTGACTGTGAGGCGGTCGAGCGTATTGTCCACTGATTTTAATAAGGTTAGTTGTTCCGTTCCAGGCTTTTCCAGTCTGGATGTCAAAGGGCCCTCAGGCAAGATAATGAACCTGAAAACTACCAGGGTGTATTGTAGCTACCTGTGTGATAAGAAAAACTGCTGAGTAAATATGGGTAGATGTGTTTTGTGCTATAAAGTAATCTGTGTCTACACTAAGACTGGAGATGCACCAAGTAAATGCCATCCATGCCTTACTTTTGTTGGACATTCGTGTTCTGTAAGATTTGGTTTTCTGTGAAAGCACTGCTCAAAATTTAATGTTGTCAATAAAAGGCAACTTTTAGATTTGGGTTAGATTTTTGACAAAAACCATGTTCTAACTTGCAGCGATATTATTTTTGTTTGCTTAACTTACGTGGGCCACATTTCCTGCTTGACTATTAGGTAAACAAGCAGATTCTCTAAGCTCTGATCAGTGTAAAAGAACTTCATTACATTAAAAAGATCTCAAGCGGTTGTGTCTAGGATTGTTGCTGCTGCAGCCCATGCTATTACTGGAAAGTATTCCCCTGCTACTGCTCTTCAAAGGACCAGAACCAATTCAAATGGCGCCCTTTACCCCATTATTCTGTGATGAGTGCATGAAATCGCACGTGTGGAAGCTGAAGGCTCCCTCTGACATTTATGCGACATTTGTTAGATGGTTTTATTATGTCCATGTGTCACTTATTGGAAAACACATCTATAATATGTAATTGTCTATAATTCCACACTTATTGTTTTCTTGTTTCTTATTGTTTAACATTGGCATTTATAACACCAGAAGACGGTTATGAAACACTTTTCAAAATCAGGTATAAAGTCGTACCCAAACTGAAGACCAGTAAAAGGTATTTCTATGTGTTGATTGCAGCAACAGTCCTGAAATATTCACACAAAACTCATATCTGTCATTGTGTAACGTTTCCTCCCTATCGGACACAAACAGGTGCTGTGCCTTCAGAGAGTGTGGTTACTAATCCTGATTCAGTGCAGACTTGGTGCTGAAGGACTTTATAATCCTCTTCTGCTAAAGGATAGTTGGTTTGAAATAGCACATAATGCAACAGAACGTGAAGGTAGTGGGTGTAGAGGCTGGATAGCAATTGGGACACAGTCTATGATCACAATAGGAGATCATTTTGTGGACTATAAAGACCAGGTGGTATCATGGGGACCCATTCAGTTTGGGTGTTTGTTGTGGTAGTTACTATGAGGTTCTGGAGAAGCTGATGAAAGCAGCACATTGCCACAGTCTTTCCATGTGTGGATGCACCAGCTAATTCACCCTAAGGCCAAGCTGTGCTATGCACAGAGGACCTGTAACAATTCCAAGAGCTACATCACAGATGTCGATGCTACAGGCCTAGGTTAGCATATTAAATTTTAAAGTTCTTGACAGTATAATTAGAGAAAAATGAACAAGTGTGGCTTGCTTGAAAAGTTTACCAGGAGAAAGTCTGTTCTTTCTAAAGAGAGCTCGACAGCACCAGTTGCATCTAAACAAACTATAAGCCTTCTGGAAAAACATCTTTGGACAGACGAGACTACGTTGGAGATGTTTGATTGTAATGCACGGCACCGCATTTGGTTAAAAAAACAAAACAAAGGCAGCATATCAAAACAAACACATAATATTAACTGTCAAGCACGGTGGAGAAGGAGAGATGATTTGAGCTTGTTTTTGCCACCACAGGATCTCGGAACTTTAAAGTTATGGAGTTGACATGCCGTCGTCTGTATACCAAAGTATTCTAGAGTTTTGATGAGGCTGTATGGAGTCCTGTGCACAGTGGCATTGTTTGGTGATCTGCCTTCAATAAATAGTCCTTCCATACTTGACTCTTACTGTCTTTTGCTATCAGTGAGTCAGGCCAGTGCTGTTGCTATTGCTATTCCTATCTTTCATGTGTAGTTTTTTCTGTGCTGTGTGGACCGTGTTCTTCTTCTTCTTCACCATGTAAGGTAGAGCAGGGCGATATGGCCAAAAATATTTATCACGATATATATTCGAAAATTTGCGATAACGATATAATTGATGCGAGACAAAATACAACTCCACAACATTACTAGCGCAAAAAGACAACCTTCCATTTATTTTCACTTAAACAAGAAGCTGGTTTTTATATACATTAAAGCTTTATAAAAATTTAACAGTGCAAATGCAAATTCCTTGCTGAAAGTTTAACCAAAAGGCATTTCCAGTAGAAATGGGCTGACATATCCTGAGCATAACCATGTATAATATCCACTGAAGTTAAAAAGAGGTGCTTTGCAACATTAAACTGCAGTGTGCAGTACGTTTTTTTTTCGGACCATAAGGTGCACAGGATTATAAGGCACATTAAGCGAAACAAAGCAGTCAGGAAATCAAACTTTATTAAACTCATTCTTCTTGCTTCCTCCACTTCTGTACCATTGATTCATTAATGTTGAATTCTCTGGCAGCTGCTCTATTCCCATGTTGTTGCAGTATATTAATGACTAACCTTGTATTGTGGATGGATTATCTCAGTTGTTCTCCTGACTGAAGTTTGGTCCGTTTACAGCATCCTGCCATGCGATTTGTCTCTAATCATGAGGAACCTTCACGTTAACTTTTATAAGTGGAAAAGTGTTAGTGTTTGTCCTCCAGCTTCACTGTTTATGTTATGCTAACATAGCTGTGTCGCTAGCGATCACGTAGCACATCATTATATACCAGCTAGCCCAACTTCAGTAACCCTACAAACGTCACTGCTGTTTAGTTTCCTTTCTTCATTTATGTTGGAAGTGATAGCAGAGCTGTACGTTTGATTTTTTTCAGAAATCTCTCAGTCAGAACATGCAATATCATGCTTGGGTAACTAGCGAGCTAACTTCCGCTAGCTTCCTGCTAACTTCTAACTCCGTTAAATGTAATACATTTTGTTTTCATGGATGCCTGGAAGTTAAACTTCATAGTTACACCTGGTAAAGCAGCAATGCTGATCGTTTTATTAAAGATGAAAGAATTTAGACAGTTTTTAACTCTCATTGCTGCTGCAGTGTTCTTTTGACCTGAAGAGGGG